GTCGCGTAACCAACTGAGCCACCCAGGCACCCCAAAAACACTAATTCAAAGGGAAATATGCACCTCTGCGATTAGAGCAGCATTACATACAATAGCCAAGATACGGAAGCAGCCCAAGTGTCCATCAATTGATAAACGGATAAAGAGGATGTGGTGTATATACACAAGGGAATGTTATTCAACCCTAAAAAAGAATGAAATCTTGCCATTTGCAATAACATGGATGGAGCTAGAGAGTATGATGCTAATTGAAATAAATCCGAGAAAGACAAATACCAAATGATTTTATTCATATGTGGAATTTAAGATACAAAACAAATGAGCAAAGGAGAAAAAAAGAGAGGCAAACCAAGAGACAGACTCTCAACTCTAGAGAACAAACCGATGGTTCCCAGAGGGGAGGTGGGGGTGGGGGGCGGGTGAAGTAGGGGATGGGGATTGAGGAGCGCACTTGTGATGAGCCCCAGGCGTTGTATGGAGGTGTTGAATCACGCCCGAAACTAGTATAACACTTGTATGTTAACTTTACTGGAATTAAAATAAGAACAGCTAAAATAAAAGCAATCCTTTTATTTAAAACGTTTGCAAGCTTTACTATAAGATAAAGTTAAGGTTTTTTTGGTAGGATTATTAACAATATCCAAAAATTGAAAGAAAACTGCCTTTGGAATTTGAGTGAAATTGTTTTTAATTAAGTGAATGAATTTTTTAAATTTTAATGCAAAAATTATTCCCAAGAGATAAGCTAAAAGTCTCACAGGAATTTAGACCCCTTACCCCTGGTTCCTTGCCCTTCTTTTCTTTCTTTCTTTTCTGTTTTTTGGGGGTTTGTTTTGTGTTGTGTTGTCAGTAGGCCTTCTCCAGGCTTTTCTGAGGGAGGTGTAACAACAGAGCTGTTGGTACTACTATGTGTAGGACTGCTATGAGAAGTTACTCTGCCTTTTAAAGTCCTTTTTACTGGAACATGGAGGTTTGCATAATGAGGTCAGCCTAGAAGCTGTAGTGTTCGCATGGATTTTGTTCAGCGTCAAGCTCTGAGGGGAAGGTAGGGATATAGAGAGACATCTGAAGACAGTGGGACTCACACCCACGCCTTTCTGACCCAGAGCCCTTCTTCGTTCTTTCCACCAGAGCATGAAGCCTTCTTCCGCAGGGGAGGTACTTCACTGAATACATGTTGAATGAAGTCACTGAGGTAGAAAAAGTCAGGATTCTCCTCAGCGATGGGTCCTCGAGATCACAGAATACTGGTGCTAATGTCAATTCCTGGTACTTTATATATAGTGTCTGGCACCCAGAGCACTCCGTGCATATTTGTTGCATTAACAGATGTGCGTTAAAATGCCGTTGGTGCTCTTGTTTTTGTGTTTTGCTTATGTTAACACAGAATTTATTTTTACCGACTTAATTGAATTGTGGCCACAGCTGTAGCGGTACCTGTCATATTGGGGTTGTGTGTCGTTGCACCAGGTCTGGTGGCTGGCCATAAAACTGCTTTCCATTTGATTAGAAGAGTTCTTGGAACTCTTAAGCTCTTTATGTCATTATTTTAAGCACAGGAGATTTAAAACCTGAAAGTCTTTACAGATTAACTGCTGGCTTTCTTCTACTGGACTCATGTTTAGAAGGAAATTTTAAGGTTATCTAGCCAAACTTAGCTCCTGATGCTTGAATAAGCAACTGCCAGTCTTACTTCCATTAATTATCACATGTCAAGAACTATACATTTTACACATTGCTTCTATGAATCCACATGTTTGATATGTTATTATTATCCCCACTTTGACAGTTCAGGAAACTTGGGGTCAGTGAAGATAAATAAGGTGGCAAAGCCAGATTGGAACTCAGGTCTCTCGGATCCAAAGCCTGTGTTCTTTTCCTTGTATTATACTGTCCTCAGTGACATTTCATTCCTCTTCCATGCAGGGCATCCATTGTCCTCCAAAAGAGTTTGTTTCATTTTTTAACAACTCTTTATTACTAAAAATTTTTTTTGAGATAACATCTATCCTTCTGCCTCTTTCTCTTTATTACTTATTAAAGTTCTCTCTGAATCCCACAAAATGACTATAGGCCTAGAACTCTCATCTTATATAAAATGGGCTTGGGGTCAGCATTTGTGTGTGTGTGTTTTCATTTTTTTTTTCCACCCTTTGAGTATGGTTTTGTTGTTGTTTGGATTTGTTTTATATACTTTTTAAAGGCCATGTGACAGTGAAGTTTAGGTAGTGGATTTACCTTGGTAAAGGTGGATTTACCTTGGTTCACTTACAGCTCCCTTATTACCAGGCATTTCAAATTATAAATAACATATTAATGAGTATCTTTGTACATACATTGCTTTTTGTATTTAGGTACATACTGAGCATGCTTCCTCATTGGATACAGACATCTGATTTACAGAAGGTTGAAAAGGTTGAAAGATTGTACCTATTTGACATGCTTGACCTGGCTTACAAAAATAGTACAATGGTTGCAATTTTAAGAAGGCAATAGGTCTCATTATAGGCCACCTTCCTTTCTAGAGGCACATCCCTGGCTGTGCAACTCTCGTCATTAGGCAGGAAGAACAGGAAGAACAGGAAGAAGGAGGTAGGATAGGTCTTCAGGTAGTGGGGAAAAGGGATATGTAATCCACATGTGATCTGTGATGAACAGATAAAAAGCAAGTGGAAATAAGCTGTAGATAGATACCTCTTAACTACCACTGCAGGGGTTCAAGGGTTTGGAGACTGAAGAGTGAACATTTGATTTCTCTGAACAGCTTGTTAAATGTTCTTTTTATGCTCAGATTGTGTAGGAATTTGTTTTAGGTAGAAGATAGATTCTGAAGTTTTATGTATACAGATTAAAAATTGAGGCTAAGGGGTGCCTGGGTGGCTCAGTCGTTAAGCGTCTGCCTTCGGCTCAGGTCTGGTCCCAGGGTCCTGGGATCTAGCCCCACATCAGGCTCCCTGCTCAGTGGGAAGCCTGCTTCTCCCTCTCCCACTCCCCCTGCTTGTGTTCCCTCTCTCGCTGTGTCTCTCTCTGTCAAATAAATAAAATCTTTAAAAAAGTTAAAAATAAAATAAAATAAGTTGAGGCTAAAATTGGATCTTATTTTAGTTTTATAATATTACGGATAGGGCTTCTAATGCTTTTAATGTTTTCCTCTCCCTCTTTACCCAAAGTCAACTCACTACATTAATAATATTTATAGTGTCTACCATATGTTCAGTGAAGAAAACTAGTTGCAGAAAGGTATATATAGAATGATACCATTTAGGGGGTGCCTGGATGGCTCAGTTGGTTAAGCATCTGCCTTCAGCTCAGGTCATGATCCCAGAGTCCTGTGATCAAGCCCCGGGTCGGGTCGGGCTCCCTGCTCTGCGGGGAGCCTCCTTCTCCCTCTGCCTGTAGCTCCCCCCTGCTTGTGCTCTCTCTCTCTGTTAAATAAATGAATAAAATCTTAAAAAAAAAAAAAAGGATGATACCATTTAGGTTAAAAAAAAACACACAGCAAGAGCAAAAACTATGTACTTGGGCACATAACAGGTACTCAATATCTGTTGACTCTGTATGGATACATATAAACAGATCTGAAGATACACAATCCAGAGTGTTTGGAGACGTTACCTCTGGGAAGAGGTATGTGACTTAAGGTGTGTTTTTATTCTATTTACTTATATATTTGAATTTTTTGCATGTTACTTTGTATACTTTTTTTTAACAATTAAAAAATGAAGAAAAATTTACCATTTAAGGATAGACACCTCCTTCCCTAATGGATCCACTGCCTTGTTATACCCTAAAGTGCATGCCCAGCAATATAAGACATATTCTGACTCTACAGAATGACTGCTTCTCTAATAATCAAGAAAAAAGGCATTGATCAAACCTATTTGCTTGTGGCCATTTCCATATAATCTAATAAGCATTTTAAATAGAATTTTTTCTATGGAAATTTTCAAACATACAAAAATAGAATTATACCTATTCTCCCAGCCTCAGTAGTTATCAACATATGGCCAATCTTCTATCATCTATAGCCCCCACACCCACCTCACTGGATTATTTTCTAGTGTATTTTAATCTTTTTTTTTTTTAAGATTTTATTTTTTATTCATGAGAGAGAGAGGCAGAGGGAGAAGCAGGCTCCCAAGGAGCAGGGAGCCTGATGCGGGACTCGATCCCAGGACCTTGGGATCATGACCTGAGCCGAAGGCAGATGCTTAACAATCTGAGCCACCCAGGCGCCCTACTCTTTTTTTTTTTTTAAAGATTTTATTTATTTATTTGACAGAGACACAGTGAGAGGGGGAACACAAGCAGGGGGAGTGGGAGAGGGTGAAGCAGGCTTCCAGCTGAGCAGGGAGCCCAATGTGGGGCTCGATCCCAGGACCCTGGGGATCATGACCTGAGCCGAAGGCAGATACTCAATGACTGAGCCACCCAGGCGCCCCTCTAGTGTATTTTAGATTATATCATTTCATCTATAAATATGTCAGTATGTATATATAAAAGATAGGGACTCTTTTAACAACCAAAATACACTCATCACACTTAAAAAATGAGCAATAGTTCCTTAGTATCAATTTTGTGAGAAGTTTTTAATACTCTGCAATTTAGTTATGTACTTTAAGTTGCTATTTTACTTACTTTCACTGTTTGTATCCTTCAGGTACTTTTAAACTTTTTCCTTTCACATTTAGCATACATTTTCCCCCATAGAGGTGTGATGAAACCAAAATGATGGTTTTTGCTTTGGATACCTTAGCTTGTGTTTTCTTAAAATCAAAATGAGAAGCTTGAGTAAATGGCTGGGTTATCTTCATCTTCACATCTGAAAAATGATTCAGGTGTATATTACTGAGTTTAGCTACATTAGAATGGAGAGCTACTTATACCTTTATTGTGATGGCAAAATCACGCCCGTCCCAATGTATGATCAAAGTGATTCTTCTTTTCAAGTGCTTTTCTAAAGATATCTTGTCTGACTTTAATGCTTTTGTTTCACATAGGTCTCTAAATAATAGAAGATGGCAAAGCCCAGCCACAGCAGCTACGTCCTCCAGCAGCTGAACAACCAAAGGGAGTGGGGTTTTCTCTGTGACTGTTGCATTGCCATCGACGACATTTACTTTCAAGCGCACAAAGCGGTTCTGGCTGCCTGTAGCTCCTACTTTAGAATGTTTTTCATGAACCATCAGCACAGCACCGCACAACTGAATCTCAGCAACATGAAAATCAGTGCCGAGTGTTTTGATCTCATTTTGCAGTTTATGTACTTAGGAAAGATTATGACTGCACCCTCCAGTTTTGAACAGTTTAAGGTGGCGATGAACTACCTGCAGCTGTACAACGTTCCTGACTGCTTAGAAGACATTCAGGATGCAGACTGTTCTAGTTCAAAGTGTTCATCTTCTGCCTCCAGCAAACAGAACAGCAAAATGATATTTGGAGTAAGAATGTATGAAGACACAGTGGCTAGAAATGGCAGTGAAGCCAACAAGTGGTGTGCAGAGCCAAGTTCAACAGTAAATACACCACACAATAGAGAGCCTGATGAAGAGTCTTTACAGTTAGGCAGTTTTCCTGAACCACTATTTGATGTATGTAAAAAAAGTTCTGTGTCCAAATTATCAGCTCCAAAAGAACGCGTGTCACGGCGCTTTGGACGGAGTTTTACCTGTGATAGTTGTGGATTTGGCTTTAGCTGTGAAAAATTGTTAGATGAGCATGTACTAACCTGTACTAACAGACATTCGTACCAAAACACAAGATCCTATCACAGAATAGTGGATATTAGAGATGGAAAAGATGGTACTATCAAAGCCGAATTTGGTGAAAAGGAATCTTCCAAAGCATTTTCCACACAGACAGACAAATACAGAGGAGACACCAGCCAAACTGCTGATGATTCGACTTCAACCACCGGAAGCCGAAAAAGTAGCACAGTGGAGTCTGAACTAGCCAACGAGGAAAAAAGCAGAGCTGCTGAGAGGAAAAGAATCATTATCAAGATGGAGCCAGAAGATGTTCCCACAGATGAACTGAAAGACTTTAACATTATTAAAGTGACTGATAAAGACTGTAATGAGTCCACTGACAACGACGAATTAGAAGATGAACCTGAAGAGCCATTTTATAGATACTATGTTGAAGAAGATATCAGTATTAAGAAAAGTGGTAGGAAAACTCTAAAACCTCGGATGTCGATAAATGCTGATGAAAGGGGTGGTTTAGAAAATATAAGGCCCCCTAACAACAGCAGTCCAGTACAGGAGGATCCCGAAAATGCATCCTGTGAGCTCTGCGGACTCACAATAACAGAAGAGGACCTGTCATCTCATTACTTAGCCAAACACATCGAAAATATCTGTGCATGTGGGAAATGTGGACAGATCCTCGTTAAGGGGAGGCAGCTTCAGGAACATGCTCAAAGATGTGGGGAACCCCAGGATCTGACAATGAACGGGTTAGGAAATACGGAGGAGAAGATGGACATGGAAGAGAATCCTGACGAGCAGTCAGAAATAAGAGATATGTTTGTGGAAATGTTGGATGATTTTAGGGACAATCATTTCCCGATAAACAGTATCCAAAAAAAGCAGTTATTCAAACATTCTGCCTGTCCTTTTCGATGTCCTAATTGTGGCCAGCGTTTTGAAACTGAAAATCTAGTGGTTGAACATATGTCTAGCTGCCTAGACCAGGACGTGTTTAAGAGTGCCATCATGGAAGAAAATGAAAGAGATCACAGACGAAAGCATTTTTGTAATCTCTGTGGAAAAGGATTTTATCAGCGGTGTCACTTAAGAGAACACTATACTGTTCATACTAAGGAAAAACAGTTTGTTTGTCAGACATGTGGAAAGCAGTTTTTAAGAGAACGTCAGTTGCGACTGCACAATGATATGCACAAAGGCATGGCCAGGTATGTCTGTTCCATTTGTGATCAAGGAAACTTCAGAAAACATGACCATGTACGGCATATGATTTCTCATTTATCTGCTGGTGAGACTATATGCCAGGTCTGCTTTCAGATATTCCCAAATAATGAACAGTTGGAACAGCACATGGATGTTCATCTGTATACATGTGGAATATGTGGAGCAAAGTTTAATTTGAGGAAAGATATGAGATCACATTATAATGCCAAGCATTTGAAAAGAACATAAGTGATTTTCTACTGTACTAATGTTTAGTTGATAGCAGACAAAACACCAAAGCAAAGGATATGAGCTATTTAGAAATTGATCTTATAAGATGAATTGTTGGGAAAAAAATTTCAAGGCCCTTTTACCTTTAATATTTTTGTTTAGGATCTTAAGTATCTACATTTTAGGTGTTATTAAATGTTTATCATTTTTGTTATTTCTTAATAGAATTCTTTGATTTTAGTTTGTTTTAGCTATGATTAAAATTACTTTTCAATGTAGACTACAAGTGGTTGTTACCTCTTCAATGACTATTAAACTTTAGTTTTTTTTATCATAAGGTGATGACTTTACTATTTCTATGTGGGTTTTTTTTTTAAGGTTATCCTGTGAAATTTTAAATCCAACGTCATTGGCCATTCATGTTTATTTAAAAAACTTTTTTTAAGTAATTAGTTCTTTGAAACTATCTCATCAACTTTTAGCTTTTTTTTTTTGTAAGTTTAACAGAGATTTAGCCACTGTTTATTCCCCCTTCTTATCAATGAAATTCATATTCTTAAATTGACATGCTTATTAGGCAGGTTAGGTGCATTGACTCTAAACTTGAAGGTTGACATGGGCTCAAACTTGGCCTAAAAACATTGATGGACCTAAGGAAATTCCTATAAATGAATATTTCCTATAATTGATAAAATATTATCATTTAATAATCACATTTAAAACTTATATTAAGTGTAAAACCCAATGACTTTACCCCACTTGAGAAATTAGTGGGGACAAGTCATTTTGTTTTATGATAGGAAATTTAACTATGATAGTTAATTAAAAAGACATATCTTGTATTCACTTAAAGTAATTTAAGATATTCTGATTTCTACAGTGTGTTAGTTTATCAATTATTTTTGTTTATAAATAGACTTTAATAGCTCTCTAGGAATATGACATCTAAAGGAAAATGATTTTTCACCTTTAAAATTACATACTTTTGGAACTTTGAGATTTGAGAAAGCTGCCATGTATATTGATAAATCAAATAAAATAAAGAAATCAATTACAAATCTGGTTGTTCTATAAAAGTAGAGTGTGGAAAAAAATGTCTTGTGTTTTATACTAAGATTTGGAGAAAATGTGTTGTGGCAAATTGCAGTTTTATCACCATGCTCTTACTATTTTTTTTTTTTCTGTAAAGGACTACAAAATTTGAGCACTATAATATAATCACAGAGCATATAAGTGGAAATAGTTTATCACTTTTTAGTTAAAGTAGTATTGTTAGGTGTTGCTGACACAGGGTCTATATGAATTACATGTGAATTAAAACACTGGCAAAACTGACCCCACCAATAAACACATCTATTGAGTAGAATGCCTTTTAATGTGAATTACTTGCATTGTAATACCCTTCTCATAATGAAAGGGATTTTAAATAACATCTGTATTTAAAGTATAATTTTGTAATTATGAACAGTAACTTCACATTGCTCTTTTTGTTTACATTGGATTTTTAAGATATGCAAGTCATATTTTTCTATACAATTTGCATAAAAGAATACATTGCCAAGAGAATTGAGAGACATACTGACTAACACAGATCTAGTTGTAAGAGAAGTAATAAAGCACAGTGTGAGCTCAGAGATTTGTGGGGATACACTGTGGTGTTAAGTAAGAATAGGAACAGTACAGGAGGCATATGGTATGAGAACAAAATAATGGGAAATGGAGATGGGGGAAATACACTAAAAGATAAACGAGAAGTAAGGAGTTTTTTTAAAAAAGCCACATAGCAGGGGCGCCTGGGTGGCTCAGTCATTAAGGGTCTACCTTAGGCTCAGGTCATGATCCCAGGGTCCTGGGATCGAGCCCCATGTTGGGCTCCCTGCTCGGCGGGAAGTCTGTTTCTCCCTCTCCCACTCCCCTTGCTTGTGTTCCCTCTCTCGCTGTGTCTGTCAAATAAATTAAAAATCTTTAAAAAAAAAAAAAAGCCACATAGCAGGAAAAGTGATTCATCTTAGCCTTGGACACAGTAGTTTATCAAGGAATTCAATCTGAAATGCAACCTTAAATGAAATATGGTGTATACATTACTGATAGGAACCTGCTAAAAGTTCTGTAACAAACCCAGAGACCATCAGAGGCTTGTCTAAAGAGAGAAGATAAACTCATTCCAAATTTCTAAACTATTTATATAGTATCTTAGGTAGACATAATTTTTAGGGGGATCACTTTTTTCCATGACCCTCATGAAAATCTATTGCAGTGTCTTCCCACCATTAAAGAATAGGGTTTTTTCTAAATACTACCATGCTGTAAAAAGGATTATATATTCCATTAGGAAAAGGGGGGAGGGATAATTTAGTGTTTTGACAGTACTAACAGCCAACAATTAGCAAGCAAATATATAAACATTGAACATGATCTAATAAACTGAGATGTTTATGGTTTCACAAAGCACCACCTCACCATGCTGTCTCCTCCCAGTTTCATATTACACAGGACACCTTGTGTCATGTTTTGGAACTAGCTATAGGGCAGCACAGGCTTCAGAAGTAAGTGTCTTGTACAGATTTTCCTTAAGAAGGCAGAGAGTACATTTAAAGGCTTCTTGCCTCTTAAGGGGAATGAAAAATGTCTGACACCTCTCCAACCCAGTTTCCTCCGACTTTCTTCCTCTGCTGGGGTTACAGAGCTGTACCTCCTTGCTATTGCTTCTTGCCCTCAATGCTGGGAAGGCAATGAATCAACATTGTGGAAGCTGCCTTCTCAATTTATGTAATTAGCCTCCAAATCCAAAAAATGAAAGGAAAATCTAGACAGATAGATGAGGAAGCTTATGTCTTACAGAATCTTGCTTAAAGGGCCTGTTGGTTCTCCAGCAAGAAATCCTGGAGAGATGGAGTCAGAGCCTTAACAAGCTTGTCACTAGTTACAGTGCAACTCAGAGGTTATAATTCTTTAGTAACAGGACTAAAAATCTCAGATTAATAAAGCACAACAGGGCAGCAGTGGAGTAGGACTCAGAAATTTGTCTTAATCTCTCCCATATTTTTAAAGTAAAAATATTCAGAGAAATGACTCATGCATAAAATGATACACAGCTAATGTTTAATGTATGAAGTTTGAATATGGACAAAACTTAGAAGAAAGTACGTTAAGTATCTCAGGGGCTAGTTATAAAACTAAAAGAAAATAAGGAGAGACTTGGCTAGGGCAGTCAGAGCATCAGTTAAAAGGAAAAACAATAGACTGACATGAAAAATCATATTTAAGTACCGTAGTTGAGAACAACAAAAAAAAAATGTAAAAGTTGAATAAAAAACATTTGGAATTGTCTAGGTGAGAGTAGAGATTTAAGTAATTTGATAGGTTAAAATAATATTGATACATTAAAATAATTACAGCTATAAAATGCCTAATAAAACAATTTCTGTGAACATGCCAAGGATGTGCCTAAATACTTGAGATGATATACCAACTTTTATATTCTAAAAAACGGGGAAGAGAGATTGGTGGTGGTTGGCAGCTTTCTCCCTGGTTAAACAATACTTGTTCCTCTACACCCCTAGTTAAGGAACTTACATATTTAATAGATCCCTGGAAAATCCCCCCCAAAGAACCAACTTAACAGTTAAACAAAACTTGCCATCATTAACAAAAAGGTAAACTAGTATCAATCATAAGAAAAAACCTGAATGTGTATGTACACATTGAAAATAAAGGAATTTGGTGTATTTCTTAATTTTTAATGGGTTTTATGAGTTAAAATTCTTTTTTTTTCTGCCATTAATCTACTTGATCAGTTCCTCATCTTTCCTCACCAGCCCCACCTCCTCTGTAACAAATGCTTCTAGAATGGTGATAAATGCCAGTGTTGTGCAGGCACCCTAACCTTAACAACGCCTAGGATTCCAGGGTGCCAAAAAGCTCGTGAGGACATATCCTTGGGAAAGGCCCCCCCCATCTCCTTGATACTTGAGGTGTAGTGCACAGGGTGACAGAGTGCATGCCAGTGAACTGAAGCAAGTAGGGTTCTTTTGGGTGTTAAGAGCCTGAAGCTGCTGCCCAGATTTGGACGCCTGTGATCCGTCCATCCTAGAGCTCTCACTGAGTAAGCCTGGCATCCATTTAGGTAGTGTTCTTTAGGCTCTGCTAAGTGCTTTACAATACACAATGTTAATTAAATCTCACAGCTGTATGAGGTAAGTATTATTCTAATTTTCCAGATGGGGCACTGAGGTTCAGAGAGACTGGAGTATTTTTCCTAAGATCACAGAAATTAAACACTAGAGCTGGAGTTTGAACCTACACCTCTTTGATTTCCGCATGCCTGTACTTAAGCACTAAGCCACATACCTCACCTCCCAAGAGGTACAAAGACGGGCCTTTTCAGCCTAGGAACACATGTGATCAAGCTCCTATGAAACTCTGTGCTCCATGTTCATCATCTGTGGTCGGCTGTGCCTGGTAAGGTAGTGGGTACCTAATGAACATGTTGGATAATGTGAAAATATATCAGTTGGAAACAAAACTTTCTATTTGAATGGGTCACTCAGAATGATGTTTTAGAAATACTAAATATTGACACGGTTTAATTTTCCTTTATTTAAACTAAAACCTTTAGTGGTATTATCAGCCATTTTGGAGGGCCCATTGTTAAGTGCTCAAAAAAAATTAATTTGAATTCAACTTCTATATTTCTACCTCTGTGACTTTTTTCTCTTTTGTTTTCCCTATTCCTGACCTTTATGTTTTAATCTCCAACCAATCACCATTTTATTGGTTATGAAACTGATGAGTTCAATAATTCAAATCATTTGAAAATATTCCCAAGAAAAACCAGGACCCCAGAATAACCAGTTTCCTCTTTTTGTCTTAATAGATGATGTGGATAAGAAAATTTTCATTTCTTTGGGTAAAAAAAACAAAACAAAATCCCTAATTGCCATATTGTGATTGATTAAAGTTTATAATCTAAGCTTGTCTAAAAACAAAGGTTATTATTCTAGCTATTTATAATTCAATTACCAAAAATATTTAGTGTTAACTTATAAAGACAGTCTTACTCATAAAAGAAATGAAAGATAATAACAGCAAACTTTAAGAACATGAACATTTAATGCTTTAAGTGAAACAATCCCCCTCCCAATCTAATCTGATTTTAACTTTATGCATCTATTGCCTGATTTCTAAAACCTATGCAATAGGTTTTACTACTGCTATATTAAATTTACTACTTTAATGGTCTTTCTACCATCTGCCAAATGTTATTTTTTAAGTGAAAAGAGAAAAATAAGGTAATGAAGACTCCATAGATAATGTCTATATAATCACTTAGGTGGCCCACTTTCATTGCCTCTATCAAACTCAAGGACATATTACTTAGTAACATATGGGTAGAGTCTCCTACTAAAACCAGATGAAATTTAGCTACTTATAAATTTATCTGCTGACAAAAGGCAAAGATGCAAGGATTTAAAATGCAAGGACTTTTGTGTCTGTATTAGTAAATATGAATATTAACTAAATGACAATAATAGCAGCTTGTGAACTCATGCTAATTTTGAACTAATTTAATACCACTTACATGTTTATATTCATATGCTTAGTTGACTTTAGCATTAAGAAGCTTAAGTCCTATTTATTTCCTTTTACTTAGGAGAACCAAATCATTGAGGTCCATTGGTAGTGACAGAATTGTTCATCCTTCCTATCAAAATGTACCACAGATCACTGGGGGGCAGAAGCCATTATAATTTCTCATTATCTTACTCATTTGCAGAAAAGATAGTGTGAAGATTACAATCCAGTACTTGGCTCTGAATTGAATGTATCAATATACAAATCACCATTTCAATAAGAAGGCACAGGAAACTCTAGGGCCAGGGGGATGACAAATATGTAAAAGACATTTCATTTCAGAATTAGGAATATTAACAATTTTATGTGAGAAAATTTGCATAATAACCCTCTGTACTTACCTATCTGAGAAAGGAATACAGTCAGGTAGACAGCCTACGAAGCCCCCAATTAAGCTTTATTTTGAAAGTTACTATGTTGTTTTTATTATACTTAAACCAATTGCTGGGTGCCTGGGTGGCTCAGATGGTTAAGCGTCTGCCTTCAGCTCGGGTCGTGGTCCCGGGGTCCTGGGATCGGGTCCTGCATCGGGCTCCCTGCTCCTTGGGAGCCTGCTTCTCCCTCTGCCTCTCTCTCTCTGTCTCTCTCTCTCTCTGTCTCTCATGAATAAATGAATAAAATCTTTAAAAAAAAAAAAAAAAACCAATTGCTTATACCAGTCAGAATCAGCCGAGCTCATTTTTAGATGACAGAAATATAATTCTGTCCAGATTATGAAAGTCATCTTTTCTTTCAAACACTTGTGCATTCCCTGATGTGGGATAAAATATTTTAAAAGACAATCACTTTGTTAAAAAAAAAAAAAACTAGGGCAAAGCATTGTTGCAAAAAATATAATTCTACCCAGAATCACTGGGGCAGTTTAGGAGAGTTATGAACTTAAGAACTGAAAGGAAAACTCCCCGGTGTGTGTATGTGTATACTTTATTTTCATTTGCAGAGTGTACAACATTTAATATTTGAAGAAAACAATGTTAGCTTGATGGGTGGAGGCACTCAGTAAAAAGAACATGAACTTTTAAATTTGTTGGATCTATCTTTCAACCAGAGATTTACCATTAACAAGTTGAAGTACATTGCGGGGCACCTGGCTGATTCAGTTGGTAGAGCATGTGGTGCTCATTGATCTTGGGCTCATGAGTTCGAGCCCCACCTTGGGTGTAGAGATTATTTAAATAAGTAAACCTAAAAAAAGTTAAAGTACATTGTATGTAAAATTATTTGACTTGAAGGAAGACACTTCCTAACTGCTTCCTTCCTCCCTACTTTCCTCTACCTGGCTGACCTCCTATCTTTTCATATGGCATGTGTCCTACCCATTCTAGCTTGAATCATGCAAGAAAAAAAGTGGCCTTAAAGCTGAAGAATTATATTAGTAATAAGAACACCTTATATTTGAAGGGTACGATGAGTTACATTAAGGAAGAAATTAAATAAATTTAAGTCCCAGGAACTATGCTTTCGTTCCCATTCTTTGTTGTAGTAATGCTGTGCTGGCCTGGTGCCAAAAGCCATGAATATTCTGACCTAAGAATTATGTTGTATCTTGTAAAGCAGTCAACTTGTAATATTATTTTTCTTGAGAGTTTGTCTTTTTCTGTGTGGCAGTGGTGAAATAGGGCCTTCTAAACCTCTGGAGAAGTGAGATCTGAATTTGGAGAGGACATGGGGAAGAATCAATCTTCAACAGATAATCTTTAAGTCCAGACCCAGGAATATCAGATCTGAAGTGACACCATCTTTTCTGTCTTCCTGACAAACCTCATCAATCCCAAAAGTTCCAGTTTCAAGGATCCAAGAAAACTCAGTAAAGATCACTTTGGAATCACTTGGCTGTGACAAAATTGATTCATGATGACTCTCCTAGTATTTTTGGAAAATCTGCTCAAGAAAAGTAACTAAAATATTCATATGACATCAGTGGTTAAAGCTACACTAAGGTGAAACTTTATATGCTAATTATCTTCCATGGTCCCTTCTAAAATAAAAGGGCTTACTAGGCTACTATAAATATATTATAAAGAGATAATAACATATCTGTGTAACACATATAATCCTAAACTTAAAATAATCTGAATCACAGTTTATATATTATGAAATGTAGTTAGACAATTAAAAAAATTATACCCCAAAATCTGTAGTTTAGAGTATAAATAAAAAGATGTGGGTACAGAGGGAAAAAAAAGTGAGACCAATATTTTAACAAGATAATGTAGTTATTACTCATTGTAATGTAGCATTTGCCCTTCCTCTTTTTCACTGTATATATCAGTCACAAACTTGATTATTAATATTAATGAAGTTCCCTTTTAAGACTGTTAACTTGAGGGGGAAAAACAGAAGTGGTTATTACTTCAATAGTGGTAGATTTTCATAAATCACAGACAACAAAAAGAATATATCTTAAGACACATTATTTTCTTCTGAACTTAGCAATACAATCTAATAACAAAGAATGAGTTTCTGTTAAATATTTATTCTTGGTGTTAATGTATAATACCATTATTTCTCAGCTTTCAAATTTCAAGATAAAATTCAACCAAGTATTGAGTGAAACAATGATTTCTGTGTTTTTAAAAACCTTTCACTAGGAAATGAAATGTTTGATGAGACTTTAACCTGGCTTCAAATACTTTGGTTTATAAATATATGCTCACAAACACATTTCTTAACCATATGCCTCTTTATAGCCATATTATTTCCTTATTGTGAATATACTTGTAGTTTTACTTTTGGTTAACCTGTCTATCCAATTCATTATTATTATTATTATTTTGTTCTTATGCAGTATCATGATGTTATATATTTTCAGAAATGCTTATTTTGTTTTTATATCTATTTCTTCAAATGTTTTAATAAAGAGTTACACAAAGAAATCTAACTTAGAGTATACATAATAGTATATGTAGACGTAAAGTCATTTAAAATCTCTAGCTCTAAAGTGGGATGATAACTTAAATATTCATTCTACTAATCAGACTAACAAAAAATTAGATAAAGTTAGTTAGAATGTGATAGTGGGTATAGGGGCCTGAAGGGAGAAGAGAAATGCACTAAAGACTTCAAATTCATATGAATTCAACTGCTTCAAGAGAAATGAGTTTAGAAAAGTGTTAGATTATAAAAAACAAAAACAAAATAAAAAACTATAGCTAATCTCTTGGGAACCATATAAAACGGCAGACTTCTAACAAGTAGGAAACAGACAAGATAAAAGATTACTGATAATTAAAGGTACCAGATCAATATAGCAGAGATTCAACAAATAATTTTTGACTGACTGGTAGAAGTAGATTCAGAAAAGAATATGAATTGAATTTTGACTGTACTAAACTACAAATGTAATGAATTACAATAATTATACATGATATAAATGCATTCTATGTGATTATTTTCTGTATATCAGTATAAAATGGAGTTACTGAGTTATATGGGAAATTTGTTACATTTTTTCAATCCATTGCTTTTACCTAATAAAATTTCCTCCTCTATGTTCAGAAGTCAAACTGTCTGTATATTACTTTTATTTATACTGTATTTTTTTCAACCTGGCTCTTTTATAAAATTACTTGTCTGGAAAGTTAATATCAACTCCTTCCATTCTCTAATACAAAAACAATAAAATATCTGATACAGCTAATTTTGGTGTTCCTGAGCAGCTTAAGAAGTATACAAAACAGGGGTACCTAGGTGGCTCAGTTAGTTAAGCGTTCCACTCTTGATCTCAGCTCAGGTTTTGATTTCAGGGTTTTGAGTTCAATCCCCATGTTGGGCTCCACACTGTGGTATGGAGTCTACTTAAAAATAAGAAAAAAAAAATTTTTTTTACGTGCACAAATTAACTAAAATTCCTATTGCTAAATCCTGGTTTCTTCTATATAGAATGATTGAAAAAGTACTATCTCATGGCAAACATAGATGGCAACAAATTAATTAGGTTTCCTCATAATATAAAAAGAAACAATTATAAAAAATCCACTGACATAGTATTTCTTTCAGAGGGTTTTCAGAATAACAATTTACTCAGAGAAATAACTTCCTTCTCAATATAATTCATTTTGTTTATTTTCAGGTTAAGAGTTTAATAAGTTGCCCCCCTCCAAAGTGATCAGCAAAGAGTATTCTCTTCATTTCAGTCCAGTCCCCAAAGATGATTGAGATAATTGCACAGAATTTAGTAAGTATTAACAATTACAACAATATTGGGTCAGACTATTCCACAAGAATCTATCCTCGAAGTTAATGCTGTACAGAACTGAAGTAGGCACCATTAGTGTCATTTTCAAAGATTCACTTCTCTTCTGGAAAAGCCTCTTTTTTAGGTTCAGGTCTTAGCCTTCCATACCAGGAAGTGTCCTACTGCAAGGCCACTGTGTATCTACAGTTTCACTGTAACTCTTAAAGACTGAGTTTTTCAAGACTAAAAGAAACAATGGTGAAATTTTTCCTATAGTGACAGGTGACTGGAGAAATATTTTGGAACAAATATAAGATGGCAGTATTTATAGAGATCTTAAATAACTACTTCAAATCCAGTTTGCTCATAGGTCCTCAAATTATAGGCTGCTACTTACTCTACTTCTCTTCAGGCTGACATTATTTCCTCAAAACAATCCACAACATTTTCTGTTGTCGTTGTTTTGTTTTTAATCTACAACCTTTATAAAGAATGTGTCCAGGTAGGAATTGAGAGGATTCCAGAAAATCCATAAATTTTTTCCCTGGTAATTCTGGAAAAACTTAGTCTCTTTAGGGTAGGCCTGACTACCCAGGCACGTAGTTTTAGACTTCATTTTACTCATCTTTGTATCTCTAGTACAAGTATTTTCAGATGTGTTTGTTTCCACTTTTGGTCTCTGAAGTATTATTTAATACAGAAATATAAGAGATAGGCAGAGAATTTTCCTCTGATACAGGAAAAAAATGAAATTATTAGTTCCAGTTTTTTGGTTAAATAATGTGCCTCAGGCCACTTTTAATAAACACTGAGCTTATTAATCACTACTGTGTTCCAGGTACTTTTCTGGGTGCTGGGAATTAGAGGGTTTGACCTATGTTAAAGCTCTTGTTTCTTCCAGACTGTGTGGAACTTCAGTCTTTGGATTTTAAAAATATTTTGAAACACCCTACTATTTATAATCTGCCAAAGCGATTTCCCTTGTTGAAAGTCAGTAGTAATTTCTATGTAAATAGTAGATTAGCAAACTTTGTTTCAATTGTATGTTAATAGTCAAGCTTTAAAAATCATTGTAGAAGTACAAGAAAATTTAGAAAAATTACTGATAATCCTACCATCTAGAGATAATCAATTTTGATCCAGTTTTTGGATCCACTTTAAAATATTGAAGATTATCCTATATATAAAATAAGATACAAAAGTCTTATATCTTATTTTCCCACTTAATTATACCAGGAACTTTTCCTATATCATTAAAAATTCATGTACACAATGTTATGGCTACATAATAAT